CCTTTCAACCGTTTTGTGGTTGGGGATTTCTGTTCACTGTTCACATTTAATGGAAGATTCACCTGCACAGCACAGACAGGAAAGGTGGGGGTTCTTGAATGCAACAGTGCAAAGAAAAATACCTTTTAGAAGATGCAGCTGTCCTCTGAATACCCTTTCCTTTTTTAACATTGTGTAGGTAGTGCTTTCCCCCACTGAATCAAGCATTAACCCTGTGTGTAAAATGTCTCAGGCCAGCCAGGTTAATGCAGTGCCTGTGTGACCCAACAGCGTAATGTCTGCCCTCTGAGGGGTTTCACCGTAACCTCAAGTTCACATGGTACAAAATGATGCCTTGAATTCACACTGCATTGAGAGAGAGAGCTTCTTCTCTGTAGATATTTTCATTTCATCAATGGGAAACACAACGGGAAACTTAGAATGCTGCTTTGGTCTGAATATGAGTCATACAGTGGGTAACGTCAGTGATGGGAAGACAAATTATCGCAAATGTGTTTGTCTCATTGTTGAGCACAAAACGCCCAGAGGAAGCATTTTATGAACTGCACCTCCGTTGAAACCAGTTTGGTAGTTGTGGTCCAGACATGAATCTTTGTTGTTGCCAAAGCAAACCTTTGAATCATGGTTTTACTTGGAAATAGAACAGTAAAGCACTGACAGGAAGGCTACTATCATTTACCTACATCAAGCTGAAAGGAAAAACATTTTAAACACAGTCTCATAGTATTTTCCTTAACCTGAGGATAACATTACATAAATATAGTCGGATGTGTGGCAAAGAACGAAGGAAAGAAAGAAAAAGAAAACCATCAGAAGAAAGGTTCAGTCTCTGAGTTGAAAATTGAAAGTACAGCAACAGTGGTGTGAATGAATCTTCTTCACCAAAGTACAGAGCCGGGAGACATGGCGGAACATAAGTGAGAGAACACAATGCACAAGAATGCTAACGCACATGTATATGGTTGGTGCGTACTGTACGTTGCCAGCTAGCCAACGGCTAATATCTGTATAGTCAACTTATGTTTGGGACAAATGCACAAACTTTCCAACAGTCAAATTTGTGGAGCATGCATGCAAACACATTGTTACATTGGTCAACATTATACCCTCTAAACATAGTCATGTTAGTATTGTTATTGTGAGCATGCTAGAACTTTGACATTAGCTTTTAGCTCAAAGCACCACTGTGCTCAAGTACAGCCTCACAGAGCTGCTAGCAGAGCTGTTAAAGTCTTAAAATGATACAAATGAGGCTAACGTTCTAGTCTTTTATTAGATAAAATGTGTTTACATTGTACTCAATCTGAAGCTAGCCAGCTTCCCCTAATAGTGGGTTCCAAGGGTGTTACAATAGGCTGACATTATTCATTGAAGGAAGCTAGCTAACATTAGCTAAATAATATTAAGTTAACCACTGCATAGGATTATCAAAATGTTAACATTAAAACTCAAATAAGATGCTTATTTAGGTAAGCCTATAACATTCTCACCGACAAATAGTTTTAGTGCACTGCATTTTCAAAATATTTTAATTGAATACATTTTTCCCTCGTATTTTACACAGATGATTTTATCCTTGCGCATACGTTCGTCTAAAATTGTGGGTTAGCGGTCGCTCTGCGGCTCTGCAGGGTGCTGTTTCTATTAGCAGCTGTAGGAAAAACTCAAAAATAAGTCGAAACGAAGAAAGAAAATTAAGAATGGAGACGAGGGAAAGCTAATGTGAGGAAAAGGCTGAAGTAACTAGCATCAATGACATGCTAAAGTACAGTGTGCAGAAATGTAAATCACATCCAGATTGCACCAATCCTCACAGACTGATGGAACAGCGTAAGATGATCCAAGGGCTGCTTTTTTTTTTTTTTTGCTTTAATTAGAGCTCACCTCACTTATCTGACGTAGCAATCACACTCTCATGTCCCTGTGTTTGCTTTATGCTTATCAGACGTAGCCACTCCTGTACAGTTTTGACGGGCAGAGCATAACCATACCACTGCCAAGGTTGTGGGTTTGATTACTAGCGGGACCACCTTTGCTAAAAAATGCACACACTCACAGTACAGGGAAGCACCGTGGGTAAAAACACCCACCAAATGGACTGAAAGAATAAACTGCCGAGTGTTTGCCTGCCAAGACAACACAAGAGGAGATTTACTCAGCCATAACAACCTCAATGCAAGGTCAGGCTTCTCCTCCACACTGAGGGCTGAAATTCATTTGAATACCTTTGGCAGCGTGTAGAAGCACTGTTGTATGTAGTATCTGTGGTGCTCCAGAATATTCAAATTGTTGATGCTGAGGGTTCAGCGACATCGACTAATGTTATGATGACCTCTCATAATTGCACACCACAAGAAGTGATGTTTTGAAAGAAAACATGCTTCAAACTTTACTTGTCTGTGGCGAGACCAATGAAATGGAGGACGGCGTGTGTCTTTGTGTGTGTGTTGTGGCGTGTGTGTGTGTGTGTGTGTGTGTGAAAGCTGTATGTGAAGGTATCGATGCATGACATAACATAAGGGGAAAAGAGACGTGAGAGATCTGTCCAAGACAAGTATGGCAGTCAGTGTTGTGATTGGCACACACGTTTTTCTGTGATTGTGTGTGCGAGTGTGTGTGTGTGTGTGTGTCCGTGTGTGTGTGTAGGCTACTTCCTTGGTAATGATAGCCCTCAGTCTCTCACCAGGCGGCCGGTCTACTCCTCTAAACCTCATGGTCTTTGCCAACCCCCAGAGCCCAGAGAATAAGGCCTGCAGCTGGGCCTCAACCAACATTCATAAATAATGCACGACAACAAACACAGACAACTCATGCTCATAACAAGCAAGCATGCACATGCAGCTAGTACACCACATGCTGTACAAGAACAGATAGTGTCACACATTGTTTACATCAGACTGTGTATAGAGGAGTGAGCGTGATCTAGCAGGATGATCGCTCCATCTAGAGGTCAGTTTGAGGAACATCAGTTCCTCTACTTGTCTAAAAGTATTTAATCCAGAAAATTTGTCCCTTATATTTTGGTATTAAGTTATTATTACTGATATGGTAGCATTTTACTGTTCTAGTCAGTGGAGGTAGAGCTAATTTTAAAGGAACAGGAACTTTAACAATTTAACATGGTGTTGCATTCAACCTGGGTAGTTTAATCTCTAACAATGCATCATGTTTCATAAATTCATCATATGTTTGGAATGTAAAATTTTAATGTATAAAGACACTATAGCTGTCAGATAAATGTAATATAGTAAAAAGTTTATTATACTTCTCTTTGAATGGTTTTGAACTAGAAGTATAAAGCAACACGAAATAGAAAGGTACAGTACGTACCTTCACTGAAAATAAATCATAAAAGACAATACAAAAATATATTAAATTATTATTTATTGTTTGTTTCTCATCAATATCCTGTAACAATGGAGCAGTCATCAAAATGTTTTGCATTTGTCCACTAAACTCCTGACTGAGTGAGTTTTTCAAAGTAAAATGCAAATGTAGAAAAGTTCTAAAGTTCAAAAGAATCTTAAAATAAACATACAAAACAGATACTAAAAGAGCAGACTGACTGAAATGTGAGCTTCTCCAGTGCATAGATAATACGGTTACATTTAACCTGAGGAAGTACTGTAAATGGGAGTAAATTATACCAGCAATAGCATGTACAATTAAACATAATTAGTGAAACACATAGCAGACATTTTTTATTTCTTAATAAGATTATGTGCATCTACTGATTTGATTCAGATTGAGAAAATCATAATCATGAAGTTAAAATGTATTTAAGTATGAGGTATTTGAGGAATGATTTTTTGTTTTGTAAAGGAATATTTGCAGAGGTAAAGTCCGGTCACTTTGTCACAGGCTGGTCAAAGATTCTTCAGTGGACAGGATGTCCCTCTCAGGCCTTTTCCCCCGTCCACGTCACCCACTGACCCAACCCGTTCACTGGTCCTGGACTGAGCGGCAGTTGCCGCAGCTGGAGTAGAAACTCATACCTCGCTCTTCACTGCTTGTCCTTACCTGGGACAGAGACAAAAGAGATGCAATAATGGTCAGTGGACAGATTGGAAAAGAGCTACAAATGTGTTAGTTACAGGCACAAATACAGTAATGGAAAGTATCTAAATACATTTACTTATGTTTTATTTATTATTTACAATTTCACATCAAAAACACACGCTTCTAAAATATCATGTAGCGGTCATTGACAAAAACTCTACATTTTAACCTGTTTTCAATGCAATCAATACATCTTTTTTTTCAAGAACTGAAAAACTTGTTTTTCATAATTCTGGTGCAACACTTTGTTATATTGTGATAATAATCCTAAAATATATTGCAGCATATATGAAAGAGGCCATTCGGCATAGGGAGTATTCTTACTTTTGTTACTTTAAGTACATTAAGCACAATACTTTTGCATTTTTACTTAATAAGAAAGCTGTTGAATGACAGACTTTTACTTGTAATGGAGTATTTTTACATATTGTAATACTACAGGATCTGAATACTCCTTCCTTTAGGAGATCTCTCTGCAGAGACAACGTCCTACTTTACTTGAGTGAATCTACAGACCTCGCTGTGGAGGGATCTCATTATTATTTTTTACTTTTGGCAGAAAATGCTACTCAATCACCTTCTTCAGTCAGGTGCCTGTGTCTCACTCACGTCTGTGGTCATTTTACCTTTGTTTGGGACAAACTTGAGTGAGTGACTGAATATTCAAAAGCGTGAGACTCCTTCCTCTGGGCCGTCATTTACAAACTCATGGCCGAGCCCGTTGCCACACTTGCCGCACAGAACCTGCGTTCACAAAACAAAGTCACATCATCCTCCTGCCTCACATCCTGTTTGATGTGTGTGAAATGATGCAGCAGCAGAAAAACAAAGAGGAATCAGAACACTGTGACCTTGAAGGCAGTGAGACTCTCCATCATCTTGGTGACACTGTCCTCTCTGACGGTGTCAGTGAAGGCCGGCCACGGAGACGAGTGGGCGAACTTGGACCGACTGGAGAACAGCGGATGGTTACACTGGGAGCAGACATACATACCTGCAGGGGACAGTTACTTTTAAAAGTCATTACATTTGTTTGTCATAATAGGGCAATGGGTCCAAAGGTAAAACTTAGGGGGTCACTAGATAATTAAAAATAAATTAAAACCAAAACATTTGAACAATTTTATTTTTCTGTAAAACAAAATTCTTTGGCCGACCAGCCGAAAACTTGTGTCAACACAAAAGAGAAGGCCAGATGGCTTTTTAAAAAAGGGGTCACAAGCCATGGTTGTAATCACTGCAATAGTGATTTACTTAAATATACCACAACTGTGCACGTTTATTTCACTACAAAATAAAATGATATTACTGATGTGTTTTACCATAGTTATTAACAGCAGATTTATTATTATTATTTTACTTTCTTCTCTTTGAATTTACAAATTTGACATACAATGGAAAATAAATAAATACATTTGACAAATTCTGTGACACCACGTGCCCTTCCTCTCTACTCATCACTGCGATATTACAATTGAATAATACTTCTCCATTTAAAGCCGTCCATTTGAAGCCAAACCTTGGCCGAACCTCTATAATCCAGGCTAAAGGAAGGTTACATCACATCACTGCTTACTAAACAGACACAGTCTGCTCACCTGGTTTAAAATGATCTTTGTAGGCCTCGCCGCCAAAAAACCGACAGAAAGACATGCTGCAGTGTCTGCAGCTGAAGGCTAAGCAACTCGTAATCTGGTTCAGTCTTTATTCTAACGGCAGTGACAGGTGACCGGACGCTCTCCTGTTTTTCCTCCTCTCGTGCGAAGTGATCCAGGATGGAGATTTAACGGGAGCTCCTCCCACTGCAGCTGCCTGTATCGACACTAGATGGCAGTGTGTGACAACAGGAGCGCACGTGCATTTTAATGGCCCCCTTGTACACATTCCCGTTACAACTTGAATTATTTACTGTTATGATCATTAAAATGATCTAAATTGACAGATTATTTAAAACCACAACACATGGCTCACTTATTTGAAAGCTGAGGTTGATGATATAAGAGTCAGAGATCATATTGCCGGCTGCCACACCAAAGCGGGTCGGTGTAGTAAAGGGGCGCCAACAGCCCCACACTAATTTAACCTTAATTTTGATCTCAACTACACACCTGCAAAATTTTGCGACTGAATCGTGCCCGGTGACGCAACCGTTTGTTAGAATCTGCCCACAGACAGACATAAAAACACCTGGTAAAGTACTGTGGTAGTTTCCCGCTACAGTGGGTGTCTCCAGGACAACATTTTCCCATGATGATGCACACACAGACTCAAAAAAATACCAGCGTCATTCCAAACACTTACGCTGTGAGTGAAGAAGATGCAGAATCACAGACACGGACAACCTAACAAATAATGTGAATTTATTTTAGTTAGCAGTTGCCATCTCAGAGAAATCTTGTCAACGTCATCAGTGTCCGGCAGGTACCAAGAGCATAACTGTCAAAACACTTTTAGATGTATTTTATAAATGAGACACAGACTTCAATCATGAAAATAAATCTATTTTTCTTAGTGGAAACAGGCAGAGTAATCAGAAATTGTATTTCTGTCCATTGCAGGTTTGCATCCATCATTCATACTTGCAGTAGTGCTTCAGTGCCTCTGGCAGCTCCAGCCAGTCAATGGCCATCCTGTGGACAATGTGCTTCTGGATGGCTTTCCTACACAATGTCTGCAAGGACGAGACTGATGCAACAGAGAAAGAAGGCAAAAGACACAAACAGCTTGTGGATGAGCAGAATCACAGTAGTGAGGACAAATTAAAGAGAATTGATGAAGAAAGATGCATTAAAAGTATGGATGGATTACTGAATGGGTCCCTGGGCCAGAGCCTTATATACAGATGTAGAAGTGTGATGAATAGTTATTATAATCATAACGTTTATTGTAAAGCAACTAACGGATACAAAATGGCCACAAAGAGACTCAAAACCCCATAGCACTCAAAAAGACTACAAAGAGATGCAAAACAACTTCAAAGAGACACAAAATAACCACAAAGTGACTCAAAGAGAAAGAGGCGCAAAATGACTACAAATAACATCTCTGTGTCGTTTTTGTGTCTGTGAGTGCTGAACCACCTGCGAAATGTTACACAGTAACATGTCTGTGCCCGGGGGCCCTTTGTTTTACAATTAAATGATGATTGATGAACAGTATTAATGTAACACTCACATCCATACTCCACCTGGACGATTCGGACACACTTGGTGGCAGCAAAGACGTCCACCACAGCATGGAGAGGCTCGATGGAGGGAATCCCCTTTGCGGACGCTCCCATGTCCTCACCATTGATGACAATGTGCATATCAGCCAGGTCCTGCCCTTTGGCCACATATAGTACTCCTATCCGGCTGCGTCTGGCTGTGGGAGGCAGCGCGTTGGTCTTATACAAGTCATCCAAAATGTGGCTGTAGCGTCCGGGCCTGCTCCGACCCACCAGCTTGTCCATGGGGATTCGAACATCCTCAATGTACAAGTGAGAGTCAGTGAAGAAAGCCTTTGGTTTGGTGTTGTCTCCCTCAGCGCCTCCAGCTCCATCGCCAGCCTCCCCTCGTCCGAGCCTCCGGCCCCCAGCCAGTCCTCCGTCTCCAGCCTCTTGACCCCCCGCTCCAGGATCCTCTATGATCTTGTTGTGGTTGCGAGTGATGGCGAAGACCCAGCTGTCGCCTGAGTCTGTCAGGTCCGGGATGGAGTATTCAGGTACCACGTCTAAGCTCCCGGGGTCCCTGGCAGTCAGGCCGACTCGGAGGTGGCCGCACCAGCCCAGCTCCTTATCCTCGATCTCTATTAGAAAAATCTCCCCGGGCTTCAGAGGTTGTTTGCTGAAACACACTCCATTGGCAAAGCTCTCCACACGTGTGGCCTGGGTTCCCGAGAAGTCCAGTCTGACATTTGATCCATGTATCGGGTGGAATTCCATGAACTGGTCAGGGGAGGGCTGCATTTTGAGTTGGGCCGCTGTCCAAAAAAACCTCAAGAAACAGAGACAGACTTACTGAAACTTGCGAATCAAACAGCTTTGCAGTGGTTTCGGACTATTGCCGGCAAACACATGGTCATCGTCGAGGAACAGCGACCTGCACAGACACAAGACCAGATCCCAGCTCTGCTTATCTGTGGGCCACTCAGGGAAGCTTCTGGTGGAGGGCTATTTTTGAACTACATATGTCAACAGATGGCAAGGTATGTGTGATGTGTGTGTGTGTGTGTGTGTGTGTGCGCGTGTGTCTGTGTGCATGTGTTGTGGGGGTTGGCCAACATGCACATGCCCTCACTCTCACTAGACATGCACAAAGATTGAAGAGGGGTTAGCGGGAGCAACAAAGCCCTCCGGGCTCCGGCACTCATTCACTTTCACAAACCCATCATGAAACCATATGGCATGGAGATATGTTGAACAGCAGGCCTTTCATAGGCTGCACTCTAAATATAGTCACGCCCCGCGAATACAGTCTGGATTTTATTCTTATGTAAAGCAGAAATTAAATTAAAATACCAGGATGTAGAGAGCTGTGGAGATTTATTACGATAATGGAATTATAGCATAAGAATATGAAGAATAATTATATTTCAAAAGGGATACCATAGATACTTCTTTATATTCATTATATATGACTGAGAGTAAAGGCTCCTGTGCACGGTGTCACTCCCTGCAGATTTAGTTCATATAATTTCAGTTGAAAGCTATCAGGTATTTCTATCGAGTCGTATTAATTATACAGTATGATAATTAGGAGCTACCCCGCTACAACCCTCAGTGGTTACATAACAGGTCTAATATGAAGTAATTTGCAGTGTGCTGATAAGAAAGAATTTCTCATTTTCATTACAGTATATTTAACATTGACGATTATCCCAAAGTTTGATATCTCATTTTGCAACCAAATATTCAGTATATTACCACATTTTCCATCTAAGGGCAATATATGCTCAACAAAACCCTAAAATATTGGAGTTAACGCGTGATCAAAACATGGAATAGCTTCAGCTCCTTCAACAAGAGGGTCTGTTAGTTGTGTCCCTGCAACATCCGAGAATGCTCCCTGGTTCTGCATGTCTGTTACGCATCCTCAGCGTTCTTTATCAATATGCAGGTGTCAGAATGGAAGACATGCAAGTAAAGAACGGATGCTGCAGAACCTCCAGGGTGTTGATGTGCTGGTCTGCATCCAGCTGCGGCATCTTATTGATCAGATCTACTTATAAGTCCAGCACATCATAGTCCATCCTCCGGGATACAGCGCTGCAGCTACCAGGTCCAGAGACCACATGTCCACGGCCTCATTAAATGGAATATGTAGCATGAGCTGTGGTGCTCTGTACCAGGTGGTCTCTACACAGACACCAGGCTGAACAGCAGACACAGGACGAGTCAGGACAAAGTCAGTGTGACTTTCAGTGGCTGCTGCTGGCGGTCCGGAACGTTGTCAAGGTCAGCATGTACAATTCGGCATGGACCTCTGGTAGGCCAGAGCTGTGGCCTAATGATGACATGTGATTGATCTGGCATGGGAAGACCCTGCTTGTTTCTGTCCTCCATGTTATCGTACAGGCTTTGATCCAGGAGTCCGAGGTTGAGGCACATATGATCTATATGTCATATGAAAGACAAAGACATTCCACTTCACGTTGTTGCATAGTTTCTGGATCCAGATATCGCAGCCGTCAGTCAGTGTGAAACCTCTACGTATTTCAACCCTTTTTTCTTTTACTGTATATTGCTTGTCTGGAGCTTTCCCTGTGTGGATTTAGAACATTATAAAACATTAAAAGTCCATGTCGAATTTCACAATTGCAAATGAAAAGCAACTTGTTTCCCATGTTGGGGCCCTGGGTGCTTAGATCCTGCTTAAACATAAATAAATAACTGTATTAGTATAAAGACATGAACTAAATATAATCATACAAAGGCAACAGATTATTAAATAAAAATGTTGGGGTCTTGGGTGATACTTTCATGCATGCAGCCAGCCAGGCTATTCAGGAGCACCTCCTCCAGTCACTGATGGATGGGGGTTATTGTCTCTCACCCCAGCTGCAGCCTGCACACCACTCGGCCGTTCTTCACATTGTCATTTCGGCTTCTGGTGTGTTTTTATGTAGGCCAAGATGGAAGGAGGGAAGAAGAGGGAGAGAGATGGGGGGTAAATTATTATATCCCCTTCTTTCTTTCTTTATTGTCACGAGACTATTTCCACCTTTTTGCCATATTACACAAAAGTAATAGTAATAATTTGGTACTTTAATTTTGCATGTGTGCTCCATTAGAACATGACACTAACCCTCAAGCTGAACTTTAGCTGCCACCGTGTTTTATATAATTAGACAGCACTTACACTATGGATGCAGAGTAGTGTGGGTGAGTTTTGTGTTTGCGCGTCTGTTGGGGCTGCAGGACTGTTAATCTGGATTATCATGCAGCTCGGCCATGCTTTTCATAATCTGTTTGGTGAGCTGTGATTCTCGGCAGCGCATGACACATCTGGATGCAGGCAGTCGGTGAAGGGGAGGTATGTGTTTGTGACTGCGCGAGAGAGAGAGAGAGAGAGAGAGAGAGAGAGAGAGAGAGAGAGAGAGAGAGAGAGAGAGAGAGAGAGAGAGAGACTCCTCACTCCGCGGTCCTTGCGCACACAATTGGAGAGGGAACCAGCAGGCGACAACCCAGACCGGTGGGTTTAGAATTTTTTGTGTAAGTATATTTTATTCCTCATCTCCATTTATGTTGTCATTCTTTTTTCCCCCCTTGCAAAACATCATCAGCGCTGCACAAATTCCCAATTATTTAAAAAACAAGACTAGGAGTCAGCAGGAATATGTGTTGCCTGCATGGGTCTCATACCGGAGAGTGCGCACTGATGGCGTTTTGCAGCATTTTCTCAGTAACTTGAACTTCTTCTGTCATGTCTACATGTCACACTTGTGTTGTGCATTGTTAGTCATCCAGAAAGAGAAAGAGCGCAGCTCTGGGGGTCAGTTTGAAAGTGTTACACTGAATTCTGTGACCTGAATTTTAGCGCAAGGCCACGTGTTGTTTTGTTTGCGTTTTTATTTTGTAATATGACCTTACTGAATTTGGATTGGGAATTTTGTTTTCAGATCTGTTTCAGCCCAGACTTTACCCGTTACATTATAACGTCCTAGAGCCCATGTGTCATATTTTAATTGCATGTTTTATTTGATTAACAATCCAAAACTCAGTTTACTCAGCTTTCTCTCATATATGGAAAAAAACAAAAACAGCAAATTCTCACATTTGAGAAGTTAGGACCAGACAAAGTTTGCCACTTTTTGACATTCTTATATGTCCACTATGTAAACATGTGACTATGTGGACATATGTGCACTATTTGAAAAAGTGAAAACTTTCAACCCATTGGTTAAAATATATTTTCAAACTCACTATGTACAGAAGAATCTGCATCTGACCTCAAGCATGCAAGAGCACTGATAGCAATCGGTACTCTGAAGGATTGTGATGTTACTAATAGCTACAATCAACACTGGGTCAGGGAGATGAGCTAGTTTGGAAACACACCTGACCAAATGTTGCTTTAGCCCATAATCCGGCTGTGTGATTTGTCCGATTTCACAGTAAAACCCTGCATTAATGTTAATCTGAGATTGTTACTGTTCGTGTCTGATCAGCGGGTGCATGGCAACACATGCACACACAAACCTTCACAGACACACACACACACACACACACACAAACACACACACAGAGTTACAGATACGTATACTGTTCGGCTGATGCTTTCACTGATTGAGATTGTAAAGGTTTGATCAAACACGTTGCACTCAGAGCAGATGTGTGCTGTGTTTCGTGCTACATTTGTCACATGATCACTCTGTAATTCACCCGCAGCCTTATGGAGCGTGTTAACAGCTCTTACATTAGAGTTTATCATTAAGCATTGCATGCTGCTGGTTAAGGGACCAGAAATGACTCCCCACAAATAGAATATGCTTGAAGTCCTGAAATCAAGCAGATATTAAAAGAAAAATACTTGCATGTAGAATGTTTACAGTACTGCACTCTCTTCCTTCTGCTCTTGCCTTTCTTTGGTTGTCCTTGTCCAAGTTTTACTCAGTATTCTGTGACCTGTGATAGGTAAACCAAAAATCCAACGGACAGAATTGGGGGAGTGACCAGCAATCACGCAACCACTTTGCAACATATTAGGGATTTTTTGTTGGGTATCGTTAAATTAAGAATTCTGCTAATATTTTTTTTTTTTAAAGGACCAATAATCTATGCATACCATACATTAACTTCTATTGAAGTGTGGCTATATGACGCATGTATTACTTAACGTAAATTGGAACCCTTCATTTTTATAATGCTAGCATTGTGGCTCTATCGAATACATTTTGCACACACATTTATGGTCCCCAGAGGATTAAACCCACTGACTTTTCCTCTAGCGCAATGGAGTTACTACCGAATGGATACCCATGAAATCTATTTTTTTGTCATCAAGATGGAGCATCTTATACACTAATTTGTCTTATTAGCAAAAACTAATGACATTCCCATCAGCCCAAGTTTAACTTTATGTTAAGTGCTAATTAGCAATGGTTAGCATGCTAGCACGCTAAACTAAGATGGTGATCATGCAGTATTGTCCCTGCTAAACATCAAAATGTTGACATTGTCGTTGTGAGTATGTTAGCATATACTGATGTTAGCATTGAGCTCAAAGCAGCATACATACTGTAATTACAGCCTCACAGAAGTGTTAGCATTGGCTGCAGACTCTTGGTCTTATTTGATATTGTGCAGTCAAAGCAACATGTTTTAGTTTAAAGCTCTCTCCACAGCGGATAGTGTAACACCCAGGGCCAAAAGATGTGCCTTAACTTGTTGATTCGGTCCTTCCATTTATTTCATATCCAGTTACAATGAGGTTATGCAAAAATGATGACTTAGCTGCAAACAAACGGATGAGTGAAAAATAATACAGCAGCAACTTGGAGTCCAAATACAGCTTCCAAACTAGCTTGACAATTTGGCAACATCAGCCAGTCCTGTTATAGTGTTCTACAATTAGCTTGGACACAACATTGTTAGCTTAACAGTGGTTTAGCCTGCCTGATGTGCGTGTAAGCGCACGTGTTTGTTTTCTGG